CCCCCCCCCCCCCTCCCCTCCCCTCCCCGTCCCCTCAGCACTACTAAATTCTGGACATAAGGTGAAGTCATGCGCTTAACAGTCACAGCAGTACGACGCTGTGACACAGCGCGTACTGCGTTCACAGACCATATTGCTCGACACCAACGAGCATCGATGCAACACAGCCTCTCTGGAAAGCCCTGTGGAGAAACCCCTCGCGTCGCGGAACACCATTCGACTCAGCCTTATACCCTAGCGTGGCGAAATCTTGCCGCATCGTGGAGCACACCCACCATAGCGTGACGTCCATCCCTGGCAGTACCGGCCGCACCCCTCCAGCACTATCCTTACAAGGGGGGTTGGTCACTGAGTCACTGCGGCTTCGACGCAACGCGTGCAGGCCTGTAATCCTGACACAGTGCGTGCAGCTGTGGGACCATAGCTGGTACACATGCGAGCGTTTACGCATTGCGACTTTTACGCACGCCTGTTTTCATACACCTAGACACAAACGAGCGTCGACGCAACGCAGCCTCTCTGCAGAGCCGTGTGGCGCAATCTGACCGCAACGGAGTTCCTCTTGAGCCTTCTTATGCCTTCTTGTCCTCTCTGGCTTTGTTGGTTTCATCCATGATTGACCAAGGGGCACGTTCCTGAAACACCGGAGACAGTCCCTCACCAGAAAAGGTCCCGACAGCTACTCGGTCCGTCTCTACCTTTCGTGTTTCCCCGCTCAAGTTTTTTCACTGTGCTGGTCCCCATGTTGCAAAGGGAAAATGAGGGTAACAAGAAAGGTGCACGGTTTGTGATGTTTGTGGTGCAGGACTTTTTCCATCAACCGCAGGCGCCACAGGACCGGACGACGTTCTTGAAATGCGCCCATTTGGTCATCAACAAAGCTACCTTGCACTCATGTATTTTCAATCGTGTTCAGAGGTGAACACGATTGCTATGATATGAGAACCATATACAGTATCTATTTTATCTATGTACATCTCTCTCTCTATATTATTATACATTGACCATTGTCAATGCCCATTTAGATCCATTTAGCATCACAAAAACCGGGCTGACGTCTTGGCTCAAGACGTCATGTCCGCAAGTCTTGGAAGCGTCCGATTTTCCAGACATCCAAATCACCAATTCGCTGCAATGACTGAGTTCTGAAATTACAAAGCACATCCGATTTGTCGCCACGCAAGTGGGATTGGAATTGTTCTCAGCTAGACCATGCCATGGTCCAAAGACCATGTAAAACCTGGTTTCTTTATTTGCTTGAGTCGTGTTTTTTGCACTTGACTGACCTGTAGGGATATTGATGATTCAAGGCCCCGACAAACTGCTTGGGGCTCCAACAATATTAGACCAATATATTAACTGAAATGAACAGTCGCCGAACTTTCCTGTCCATGGGCATACAATTGTGAATGCTGCGCATCTATGTCTATGTCTATATCTAGATATTGAATATGTGCATGGGAGTCAGCACTCTACTCAGACGAGCACTCCTCGAGCTGGCAGGTTTCTGGCTCTCATCTCAAACCAGATGAGGAGGTGGACCGAATTACTGTACTCTTCCCCCATGTGCGCTGCCCGCGGCCATGGCGCCGGACGGTTGGCCCACCGGACGTCCCAGCCACTGGTGCAGCGAGGGGCGGCCGCCCGTGCGCGTGGAGCTACGCCCCTGGTGCGAAGAAGGCCGACGTGCGCCGTGCGCCGCGCGTACACTCCCTGGAAGTGGATGGCCTGGCCCCTGGGAAGACCATTTTCCACTACAAACAGGAGGTTTTCCACTTCCATGTGACTTCGTTGGGATTTTGTGCCATCTACACTTTCTGGAACTAGCATGGCAGTGGAAAACCTCCTGTTGTAGTGGAAAATGGTCTTCCAAGGGGCCATGCCATCCACGTAACCATGTTAGTTCCAGGGAGTGTGAACAATCTTTGAGCCATAATTTGAAGACCTTGGACATTGCCTCCAAGTTCCCACCCACCCCAAGGAGAATCAAGTTCTTGTATCACCCACCACGCCTGGTTCCCTCCCACCCGGAGAGTTCACGTCCTCTCCGCTTCCGTCGTTCCGTCTGACGCAGCGCACCGCGAGGCATGGCCATTTGCTCCTACTTCTACGAAGCGATGCCCGAGGGCATCCAGGTCGAGCGCGTGGAACGCTGGGAGAACCAGGCGCGGGCGCCGTGAGAACGCTGGGCGGGCGCGGCGGGAGCAGGCTGTGGCGGAGGGTGTGTGGGAATGCAAGTAGGCGCTGAATCAGATTTGTTCGGAGCTCTGCTGCTGGTCCTTTCCTGTGTTTGAAGGGCTGTCTCTTCGGGGTGCCTCAACCCCTTTGGCGCAGTCAAAGAACATCCGGGTCCTATGACGGCCATGTCCAGCAAGCGACACGATCCACTTGGACGCGCACCTAATGGTACTCCTAGTTGGGATGTAACTCTACCGCCGTGATCAACGACCACTTACCATGGAGCTTCAACGATTGCAAAACCACTCGACATACGTTATCATGGTAAATGGTGGTAACTTTGATCCAACTTGCGAATGTAGGCCACATTTTGTGAGACTGAATGCTTGGACCATGCTAGACCGGACAGTTCCGTGACACGGCACGGTGCCATGAAGCTCCGAAGTGTCTAGAGAAGATTTGCGGCTAGGCCAGGGTTGGGTTGACCCCCGCGCTTGTTTCTCCCATAGGCCGCCAGATCGACGTCGGAGCGCATGGCGCAACACCCCATAGACTATGAAGAAAGAGATCCAAGATAGTTGTTTCTATATAGTTCCTTGGTCATCCTGGAGTGAATGAACGCCACCGCGCAAGCGCGAAACGTTCCACTCCAGTCACACGCGTCAATTGATCAGTCCTCCTGCACCAATGACCAATGAAAGACCCAGTAAAACCAGATCCTCAGATCCTTTATCTCTCTCCTTAGGGCTCCAAGTACCTGCTCAGAAGGTATTTGGACCCTCCAAAGCCACCCCAACCACCTTCTTAAAAGGTGCGACAGGAGCCCTAGGGTCTGAGTAATGTTGTTGCAAGATCGACTCCAGTCGTGTTGTTGGTGAAATCTGACCTGTAGCGGCTGCGCCGCGCCGCGCCGCGACTTCCTATAAACTAATCCGTTCTTCCATGGTGCCATCAGGCACGGGAGCACCAAAATACCCAGACATTCCATGGGACTGCCATATATGCCTACATTGACCCCCTGAAACCACCCCAACTGATCGGCATATATGGCAGTCCCATGGAGTGTAATAGGGATAAGAAACCTCATTCCCCGAGTCAACCGGGCGGAGGGATGTCACCGTCACGGTGACATCCCTCCGCCCTTCGCCAGGCGAACTACATGCCCTTCGCCGCCTATCGCCAGGCAGTTCGTGTGGGCCTAGGGCCGGCGGAGGAGGTGGAGCTGTGGCTTTTCCACGGGACCGCGCCTTGCAGATGAGAGACCGGGACCTCCTGAGTTTCTTTGTTTATTCTTTTGCGGGGGTTCAGGAACCCCAGCATAATGCGCCCAAATCCTACTTCTTTGTTTGGGGGGGTGCGACGCGGTATATATATATAATATGTTGCCCAGAGTAGATGTTCACTTGCAGACATGACATGAACTATGAACTCTTGTCGCAGAGAGCTCTTGTGCTGTTAGAAACGAGTGTGGCAGCGGAGCCGGGGACTGCCCAGTCCCCGGCTCCCGCCTGTGCTAGGTCTCACAGAAGGCCATCCACTCGAGGCGCAGGCCGACATCCTGTCGGAAGCCGTGTGAGCACGGAGCCGGAGACGGAATGGATCCAGGGTGAGATCGACAATTTGAAAGGAGAGCTCTTTGGCGACGGCTATGGCCCAACCACCACAGGCATCTTCAGGATCGCTGCGGCTGAGTATCGTCGTGACTTTCCTCCAGGTTTGCAGCACGGTGATTCGTCGTACCCTTTGAGGTCATATTTGGAGAAGTTGAAGATGTGGTATAGAATCTGGTCTGGCTTGAACGTCATGGTGTTGGCAAATACTACTTGTACTTCACATTCGGTGGCCTCTCCACCAAACAGATCGACGACATAAAGTTGCAGGTCCACGGTGACTATCCACTTTTCCAGGACGCCAGATCGCTCGCATTGAGGCTGTCACCAAATCGTCGTGAAGATGAAGCGATCTTCCATCAAGATCAGGAAGACACTTCTATCAAGATCGGGAAGAAACCTATATACTATCCTCATGAGGACTTCTACAACGACGAGTACTACTATGGTGACTGGAGCGTTCCCTGGTACGATGAAGGCTGGCAAGATTATCTAGGCATACTTCAATGAGGATGATGACGAAGATGGCTGGTGGTATGATGACGAACCACTATCAGGTCCAGTGTCATCATCGCCCCAACCGACATCAACGCCAGCACCGGCACCAGCGGCATCCTCAGACAGACAGGATCCAGCTTCCTTCTCGACAGTGTGACAGTCCGTGAAGACTACTATGGCAAAGGAAAAGGCCATAATGATGGATGCAGGAATTGCGGCAGCAAATTTCATATGGCCAGAGACTGTCCCATGCAATGACATGGAGGAAAAGGACCCAGCAAAGGATTTGGAGGCAAGCCTACATGGAGAAGCAAAGGCTCAGGCAAGGGCTTCAAGGGCTTCGGAAAGCATGCTCGTTTTGGAGGCAAACGCGGCTTCAAGGGCAAGGGCTGCCGGAAAGGACAAGGCAAAAGCAAGAAAGGCAAGGACTACAGCAATTGGTGGAGCGCAGAGGCAAGATCACTTTTTGATGACGCCACTTCCGGAAGCACTACAAGACCAGGTCTTGATGTGACACTTGGAGCATCGAACATCAACCTTCAGAGTCAGCGGCCGTTTGAACACTATCATGTTGGCACCTAATTCTCTGAGGACGACTTCATGAACAGGACGCGATTTGGCCACAAGAAGAGCACCGAAGATGAGAACGCCCATGAGACAGAGGAAGCACAGACTGAGATCGACTATGCCAAAAGGACTTTGAACTTTGCAGTCTTTGATGCAGGCCAGAGAACCAGGATTAATCCGGTCCACCTATTAAAAAACATGCGCCCCCCCCCCCAATAAGGAAACCTCGGTCGCCTTTTTCTAAATAGGGGGTCCCTCAAATCGGGGTGGTCCAAATTGGGTCACCTGGGAAGGGCTTCAAAACCGAAAAGTCACCCAAGAAAATTTTACATTTATATATCCTTTATTAAACTCGTATCAAAAATTCAATAAACCTCCAGATCGAAGGGTTTCCCTTTTCTCCTACAAAAGCCTTTATTAGAATAGTGATTCTTCATTAGACTAACAACTATATAAAGCTTTCGAAAGGTGATGTCGCTATGCCATGCGGTTTTGCGTGACCTCTGTGGAAAGTGCGTTTGCGTGAGTCTGTGCCATTGGGGGAAGGAAAGCCTGCTGGTGTAAGCAGGGCGTGTCGTGGTGGATAGACAGGGTGGACAGAGGTGAGCACTTACGGTTGTTTTTGGAACCTATTTGTTTTTTTAACAAAATCTCCTCCAAAATCGGCAATGTTGTTAGTTTAGTAGCGTTTTGAAAGGGTTGCAATTCAAAACACAATATAAGCCGTACTTAGTTAGGGGCATGGCTTTTAAATAGAGGTCCGTTTTTAAATAGGTACTCGGGATTACTTCGTGGTCAGAGGAGAGAAACGACGATGGCTCATCATTCAGGGGGGTTCCAAAGATGGAAGGCCTTATGCCGCATGTTCCACTTTCACCCCTGGTAAGAAGCAGCAGGTGTGCGGCTTCTATAGGAACTTGACATCGGAGTAGATCTCTTGTAGATGGTTCCTCTTTTGTGTGCTGGCTGTGGCAGGAGCTGTCCACCTTAGTCCTTCCGGGGTTGGAGCACGCAAGAGAAAGAAAAGCTAGTATATATTTCCCAAAATGTTGATGTCTTTTGTGTTTTTGTGTGTGTGCAAGCTCCAACCCTAGAAGGGCACACACCCCCACAGTCCAGCAGAGACTGAGAACAGCAAGTGGAAAAAGCAAGGTGAGCTCCAAGAAATATATGAAACATATGAAATAACATGTTGATCCACCATTGGTTGTTGCCCAGTCCATCTATGTCAAGAAACTACTTCTGGAGTTAGTCAACAAGACGCTCAACCTCTTCAGTGAAGCAGCTCAGTGGAAGATGGACTACGTTCACTGGTGTGTCAATCCAATACACCTCGCACTGGCCAAGGAGATCTTCAAGGACATCATGGACGTTAAATGCGTATCCATTGAACTACGTCCTTGGAAGAAAGCTGTTCCTACACCACACATGGCCATCACCAGTGCCTATTTCAGGGTACAAGCTATTGGTGCTATCCGGGAATGGCAGATTGGTCCTTTAGAAGGTCTTCGAGAACTTTCCATTGCCCAGATCAATGCTGCAATAGATGTTGGTGATTGGCTGATTGCCTTCTTTGGCATTGATCCTACTGCACAGCCAACACCTTCCACACCGGCCACGTATCACTGCCCGGAGGTGCCAGTACCACCTACTCCCTGTTTGGCTGCTGCTCCTAGCACTCCTGCTGTTCGAGACCGTCCTGCTCCTTCCACTCCTGTTCCAGCCAAGCTGAAAAAGATGATACGGGGAGAGTGATTCATTCTGACGCTTCTGCCCCGTCTTCAGCTTCCTCTGGTCAGGCATCGGATCCTTCTGCAGCGGCCGCTCAACCTTGGCCTGATGATGATGATGGTGATGAGTTTTGGCTTCATCATCCACTACCAGAACAGGCCTCTCTATGCCCCAACTACGACCTGAAGCGAGTAGAGCAGAAGGTTCCAAAGCTTGCGACAGAAGGAAAAATGGTCAAGGCCAAGCAACTTCTTTGTGGCTTACAGGCTTACATGGCAGGATTGCCTCAAGAAGTACTTGAGCTAGCAGTACAAGAGTGCACCATCTGTCGCAAGTTTATCCGGATGCCAAACCGGCCTCATCAGGCAGGCAAGAACTGGAGGAGAGACACCCTTTGGCGATGCAGTGCAGATGGACGTCTTTCACTGGCAAGACCATCAGTTCATCACGCTCATTGATGAGGCTACTAGATTCAAGATATCTGATGTCATTCCAGGACAAGAAGCAGATCAACTGATGGAGTCTATCCTTCGCCTTTGGATCCACATGTTTGGGCCTATGGGCAATTTGGTCTTGGATCAACAGACATCGTTGATGAAACACAATATGTTGGCTCAGAATGTGGACGACTTGGCATCGCAAGAAGACCCAGAGGTACCACCACTGGACAAGGAGCAAGTCAACACACTGGTACTGGTTTGGTCAAAAGACACATTGGTTTGCAGAAGTTATGCGTGTACAAACTTCATGCTGAACTCACTCGACAAAGTGTTCAGTCCGACCTGGCAAGAGAAGCGGCCATGGCACAGAACCCGACCTTGAACTACAATGGGTCGACGCCATCCATGGCAGTCGTTGGCACCTTGCCAAGAGGCTTCTACAACATTGACAGTGATGGCATCATGTCTGTGCACGGTGCACTGGAGACAGACTTGACCACCTTCGAGAAAGCCCTGCGCGTCAGACAAGCAGCTTTGTCACAGGTGCATCAAGCCGTGGCAGAGGACAGAGTTGCAAGAGCCTCTCGTTCTCGATCTCACCAACTGGAGATATCGCAGCTTGTCCCTGGCACCAGTGAAGTTGAATTTCACAGAGATGTTCCAGGCGATCCCGGATGGAGAGGACCAGCACTCCTTCTACGCCTTGACGCATCAGAGGGCACGGCAGCGATTCAGTAGCAGGGCAGACCTTACCTGGTTGGTTTTCGCCACATCAGACCATTCCATGGCATCTTCATTGTGCAGTTGCAGACAGAGGAGACTGAGTTGTCCCTGTACAAGCTGATGCGATTCGTTGAGGACATCTCAGCATATAAGATCCACTGGTTGTTGACGAAGAACCAGACCTGGACGCATTTTCCAAAAGGCAATCCACAGGTGAACGAAATCTTGGAGAAGGCCAACAACGTCTCAAAGCCCATGACCAAGAAAACATTGAATGGCATCATGATTGGCAAGTCAATCAGGACTTTCAAGCCACCAGCCAACGCGACCGGAACACTGATCACTTGGCTGACTGGAGGCAAACAACACGCAGTACAAGCCTGCGAGCATGACGGCCACCTGGAATGAAAGAAGATCAGTAACTACAACCGAGAAGATTTGTGCTTGATCTACTTCTACTACTACAAGGATCAACCAGCAGCTGAAGATGAGAAGACAAGCACTACCACAACCGTGGACACATCACATTTACAACACACCTTACCACCTCCACATCACATATCACAACCGCATCGCCAATTGACAGATACTATGTCCAACGCGCGGCTACCTCAGGCATCACAACGCCCCCATGAACCACAACCAGATGATGCCATGTCTGCCGCACTGTCTGCCGCGGAGGGTCCGGCGCATGGAATCAAAAAAGATGAGCCAGAACCACGGCTGACACCGACTTCTCCACTGATCACCTCTCCAGAGAAGAAACCACGATTGGAAGAAGCACCGGAATCACGAGTGCAGAACGCACGACCAGCTTCACCATCAACATCGTCGATGGCATCACCAGAGAAGAAGCAGAGAATCGACTTTGCGGAGATCTATGCCGACCACGACTTCCTCATGGCCGTGAACTACCAGGTCCAACGAAGAAGACTGATAGACACAGGCTTTCCGGAGGAGTGGTACTACCAGTACGACATGAGCAAGAAGCTGCACCACCAGATCAAGATGAAGCAACGTGCAAGGAAGAAGCAAGATCTCCCCTTCCTCGTCACCATCAAGTACAAGAAGAGCTCCAGTGCATACGCGTGCCTTCGTGCTGGCCACATCTACTACAAGGTCGACACAGAGACCAGCCATATCGAAGAAGCTGACCTCATCAATGGCTTCACAGGCAAGCTATGGCCATTTGTCGAGGAAGCCGATTCATCGGAGATCAAACAGTTCGTTGATGAAATGGCGTTCAAGAAGTTCCACTTTGACGGCCTCACTGTTGAGATGCGATCGATGCACGATGGGTGAGAAAATAGAAGAGACAGCCTGATGGAAGCCTGAAGGTCAAGAGCCGACTATGTGCTCAAGGCTGCTTTGACCAGCAGAAGTATGAGCTCACAACAAGATCCACGACAGCTACCCGGTTATCACAGAGAATTGTGGTGAGCACTGCAGCACGTCGAGGCTTCAACATTGAGTCTATCGATGTTTCAGGAGCTTTCTTATTAATGGGCTTGACTTTTGCCGACATCCAAATCGAACAGTCTTGATTCTGCCACCACGAAATGTCTGGCGGCACCTGGGATCATTTGCGGGTGAGTTGAAGATCACCGAGTACCAGGTACCACACTATGGACTTCTCTGCGGAAGGCCAGTGTGCGGCTTGAACGATGTTCCTGTTGCCTGGCAGCTGTCATGGCACCAGTTCGTCAACGAAGAACTTGGAGGACGATCTTCCAAGCTCGATGAGAACCTGCTGTACTTCAAGGATGACAAGAAGCAGCTGAAGGACAACGATTTTGATTGTCTGACCGGCCTGATGGCCTCACACGTGGATGACTTGTCAATCTGCGTTCATCAACCTTGGCTTGATGAGCTACATGTGAAGTTCACCAAAAGGTTCAAGAAGGTGACGAGACAGCAGACATCCTTCTCTCACTGTGGCAGTGACTACATCAAGACCAAGCAAGGCTTCAAGATTTCTCAGGCCAGCTTTGTGGAGAAGATGGTTCCAGTAGTGGAGACCCGGAAGGGTCGAGACGACAGTGACCGTTTAACTGCTGCGGAGAGTACCTCTTTCCGCTCTATCCTGGGCGCCTTGTGGTTGATAACATCTATCAGATTGGACCTTGTGGCAGACATCTCCTTCCTGCAGGGCAAGGTAACCACTGCACAGTCCACTGCACAGATCTCTGATCTGAAGAAGGCGAATGAAGTCTTGGTGAAGGCACAACAAGATAAAGACCTTGGACTGCACTACCGCCACTTTCAGAGCAAGCACCAGCGCTTGATGCTGATTCATGATGCCTCACCGGCATCTCAGGGCAGACATTATGCGCAAGAAGGAGTACTTGTCATTTTGGCAGATGATTCCTTTCATGGTCATGAGCTTCCACATGAACAGTCATGCAGCGACCAGGACACCGAAATGCATGGTGGCACTGCACATGTGTTGACTGCATATGGTTCAAAAGCCACATGAGTCTCCTACTCCACGTCACATGGAGAGACGCTCGCCATGATCGGAGGAATCGAGTTCTCAACACTTTGCAGGTGGACTATGACGCAAGCCATGGCCTACGACGTCGAGCTCTCCCAGCAGAGGATCAAGACATGATCAGACTTGATCAAGAATTTTCTGATGCTGTGCCACCACTACTACCTGATGTGTCGCAGTGAGATTTCAGGACGATCATGATCCGGATGAGAGCTGTGATTGTGGCCTTGGCAGAGAACAATGAGGAACTGAAGAATTCTCAGAACACGATTCGCTCCCAGTTGTCCGAGGCCCAACAACAGCTGAACTTGGCCAAAGGGGCCTTGGAGGGCACTATGACCATGCTGCATCAGAGTGAGAAGGCCATGAAGCAGAACCAGCTTGTGATGGAGGAACAGCGTTCCATGATCAGTGACTTCAAGAACACGGTGAACCAGATGAGCTTGAACACGATGGCTGGAGCACGAGGCAGCGGGTCAACTACGAGGATCTACAAAAGATCGTTGACATCTCACCTGAATGGCCTTCAAGTTTCGTAGTGACGCCCGGTGGAGGTTGCATTCATCGAGACAGGTGCCGCACGATTCAGCACTCAGGCAAGACAGTCTTAAAGACACGTAAGCATATATATGTAAGCACTGTCTCGGCGTCTAGCAACAAAAGAAGACCGGAATAGATTTTCACTTGCAGACATGACCTCTTGTTGCAGAGCGCTCTTGGGCTGTTAGAAACGAGTGCCAGGGCATGCATGCCTACACACGCGCACACACATACCTTTTTTTTGGGTGGGGGGGTGCATGTATGTTTGTTTCCTAGACGTATATGTTACCCCTTGGGGTTCTATTATTCTACAGTTTTCAAGTTTCATGAAAACTGTACACGGTACCCCCCCTGCACTTTAGAGGCTCCATGTTGCACATGGTCAATGATGTTTGTAGCAACCCGCGTTCGAACTTATTGTACTGTACGACGTGAACTGTGAACATGTGAGCCCTCGTGTGTGCATCGGGACTGTTTCGGATACCCATCGGTGCGACTTGCGACATCAGTGGACCCGAATGAGCATGCTTGATCATGCTTGCATGGTGCATCCAAGGCAGCCGGTGATTGTATCCCCATGACCCACCTGGTCGCTAGCCTATATAGCTAGAGGCACAGCTCATGGCATACCATCCGTGTGTTGTTTTCTTGTCGGTGCAGAGATTCGGGCGGATTGCGGTCGGGTGCTTGTGCTATCTTCTTCTTCAAGTTGCTCCTAGCTTGCCCCTGTCTTGGATATTTCTTTGGGTGCCTCAACCGAAAGAACACATGTATTTTTCGGAGGATGATTGAATGAAGAATGGTTTGTAGATATGTGACCACTGTCCTTTTCATATTCAGCCAACTAACTCATCATATCCCCCGCAAAGTCATCAGGCCGCGCTGCACAGACACTTCGTGTGTTCGTCCAATCCGGGTGCGTCGGTTGGTGGTTGATTCTGGCACCTCTCCTTCAATGACCGGTGCGGCTCGTCGGGGACTGAGGGAACGACCTGGCAATATTAAAGGTTCCTTAGGGTCCAGCCACCCCTCATTCCCTACGAGTCGCACCAGTCAGTCAATTAGAGTCCTAAGAAGATTCCGAACCAGAAGAGCCAAATATGCCTCCAAGGGAAGAATTTTTACTGTAATCACGGTTCATCAGTCAACATCATGTCCATGAAACAATGAGGTGGTGCCCTATCAATTATACAGTGGATTATGCTCCATGAATTCGTGACAATATTACGATTATAGCGGCCCCCCGATGGATAGTGGCACAGTTTCCAATACATTTTAAGTGGGGACCTACCTACTCTTCTATCTATTTGGGGGTCCACTCAGGCCTATGACTTCCGAACTAACAGTCCATCTCGGCAGACACGTCTCATCCTCCCAGGATGCGGTGGACGCCGTCCTGGAGAACGGCTTCCGCATCAGCCACGCTCAGCTCGACAGCCGACACAACCGCTACGGTGTAGGCCAGACCGGCCCGACGGGTGCCATGAACATGAGCCCCCATGATTGTCCACAAACATTTAATAGTCGTTATTTGTGTAAGAGCTGAATCGTTTCACTGCAACATCGCACTGAATCATGTGATGCTAATCTGGTGCAGCAAACCGACCGACAGTGGGGGACAAGTGCCACGTGCCACAACTTGTGACTTGGATCACGGGAGGTAATTATCACTCATGGAGCGTCCGCTTGGACGGTGTTGCTTGGACAGTGGCTGGTTGTACACCAGGAGTGGTGAATCACCTCGAAGGGGCTATCATTAGATATATACACCTTAGGGTATGGAATACTTGTACTTGAGTGTATTCCTGAGACCACTCCGCAAGTCTCCCACGCTGTCCAGCACGGTGCAAAGCCACCGCGGGAGAGGCGTTTACTTTGCGCGCGACCCGCGCTTGGCGCACCACTTCGCGCAGATGAGCAAATCTGGCTCTTTGGCTCCTACCGCAGGAAGAAAGTGGATTGCCTTTTTAGGAGGGCACTTGGTGTCCAAAGTTCGGTTCCGATGTTCCATCCATCTCGAACCACCAGGCATCACCAGGCAACGGCGGACAGGCGCAGAGAAAAAAAAAAACAAGCCATGCCCAGTGGATCCCAGTTACCACTATATAAGGAACCAGGGGTTCGTTCGGTCTATGGTTTTAGTCTTTGGAACCACTGGGACTCCCAGCGACATCGTGGTTTGCCTGGATGTGGCGAACGCGATCGGGGCATGTTCGGAGGTCTTGTTTCATTTTTTAAATGGCTCAGGACGTGGTAGGCTGCCTACCCACTATTACCCACCAGGGGTGACCATAGACTTTCAACAAGCAACAGTTTCTTGAGAACGGCTTTCCCGTCAGACCCGGTGGAGGACAGGTACAACCGCCCTGGAACACCGGACGCAACGGAGGGCAGCATCCCTGTGTTCGGGCGCCGCCCGTTGTTGGGGGTCCAAAAAGAGTCCATTTCGAAAGGATTGTAGGTCAACCCATGGGTCCAAAGATGCAAAGCAACACAAACCGAAAGGAAAAACTGTTGTTTGTTTTTCGATTTTGTTGTGTTCTGCGCTGCCGAGCACTGCAGCAGCACCAGTCGGAGATATATATTTCGGGTGGATAGAGAATCTCATGAGAATCTCAATCCCTAGGGCTCCAAGTACCTCCTCAGAAGGTACTTGGACCCTCCATACCTACAGAACAGAGAGTCCAATCACCTTCTGAGAAGGTACGACTGGATCCAGATTGACAGGATTGATCTGATGGGTCGGACGCTCGGAGCGGTTTGTCGGGTCAGAAGAACGACCGTCGATCGCGCCTGGTCGAGCCGAGGTAAGCAGACAGAGATCTGTCAGGTTGGCAGGGTGGGGCAGTCCGATGAAGTTGGCAGGGTAGGGTGGCCGGGTGCGATTGCGATTCACAACGATTCGCAAACCGAAACCTAGCACTCATCATGACAGGAGGGTTTCTCCAAGGGGTGTGGGCTCCAGCTTCAAGAGGCCAGTTATGGCGAGACACCTCTTGGTAAAGCAAGACGATGTCCCAGCGTAGCACCTCCACGTTGGACCACCAGCTGGCTGCCAGGGGGGGGGGCAGGTGACCGCTCAGAAAGCCCAACGGATCGGCGCTGACTGGTTGAATCGAACGGGGGGATCGCGTTTTCTCAGCTTGTCAGTGGATGAGCGTTTGAGAGCGTTTGTATTTTTGTTGGCGGGAGGTTGGTTTTTGAAACTGAAAAGCCCTCAACTCTTCCTTTCGCTCACCCGCTTGCATGATGTTAGCTGCTAGCTTGCTGGGCAAATTTGCTTGAAACGCACGTACCACCAGCGGCCGGCAATGAGTGATTCAGCATGCCATGTGCAACCACAGTGACGATGCAGAAGGTCAGACAGGACCGTGGCGCACGAGGTGCGACTTAGCAACAGTAGCTACAATGACGTCTCGGCGACTTCTACATCGAAGTGTAGACTCCTCTCGCATGCTTAACGCCGTTACGCCAACAGCCGGCAACTGTTCAAACTCTATTCCGAACCTATGTCCCTGCCGGAGTTGATATGTTGGGATGTTCGGAGATCGATCCTTTAGGATTCTATCCCCAAATCCTGCTTCCGCTGGTCCTGACTCCCGACCACGGACTGCTGATGAGCAGACCTCCTCACTGGCAGACCTCACTGGCGCTATAGGTGATCCTGGCCCGTGTGGTGGTGGGCCGCTGCGCCCTGAAAGCGCCGTTGAAAGATCAACGGCAACTGCTTCGGCCCGAGCACCGGGAACCACCCACAGGTGAGAGCGCCGCGTGATTTCGCGCAGCGTGAGAGCGCAGCGTGAGCGTCCTGCCGAAGTGAAACGTGGAGCATTCCTTGGCAAAATGGACACCCCCTCCACAAAACAAATTAGACCAGCTGTACGTTTCTGTACTAGTCGGAAGTCCCACAGAGACGCGGAGACTGGCCCCCCACTCCATGTGTGCCGATCAAGCCAGACCCCCCTTCGTAACCACCACCCCCGTACGGCCGTTTCTCAGCAGTCCGTCCTGGCAGTCCTGTTCGTCCTGGGTCGCGACCCGGGGGTTTTGGGGGTCGCGGAGGCCGAAGCTGGTGGCGAAGTAGTCGCGCTTTTGACTCGACCTGTGTGGGGTCAAATCACCATCAATTCCGCCCAAGAATACTTCGAGTGACCCTCCACCATCACAATTTCTATTCAAATCCTCACCTGACAGGTGGGGAACCAAGTCAAACCTGGTCCCTTCAAACCTCCAAACGCGTATATGTGATTTGTTGGTTAATTTTGTTTGCATGACCAGCTCAAGTAAGAGGAGATGGTTTCCTGGCCTGTAGGGGTTGGCACATGTGGCGGCCAAATGACCAGGTGGTGCTTTCGGATGTTTCAACCTTACGAACCCACTGACTCATATTTTTCGTGAGTTGGAACCACCAACCCGAATTGATGATACCAGGACCGGACCTAACGGGTGCCCAGGGAGGAGATCCATACCGTAGTGTAGTATAGTAGTGGTTTTATGTGGTTTTCATTGGTGACCCCTTGGAAGGTGCTCGAACAGCCTTGGCCAATGGGGGAATGGTTTCCCCATGGCCCACCTAAACCGGGTGGAAAGCATGCTCCTTGGAATTGATTGAAGTGGAAAAGCACCGATTTGTACAGCGGGAGGGGACGGCTCTCCATTTTGGACGCCATGTCTGGAAAAGTCCAGATGTCACGACTCCCTTCCTTGGCTCATCAAGTGCTGGCTGCGACTTTTGACGTCAAGTGCAGATGTGCCGCGTGAACCCCATGACCTTGAACTCACCATACCCGCCTGAACACTCCCCCGTACTACCCCCGTACCCTGACCTGAGCGAACCTTTGAAGGATCGTGTTAGGATTTTGGGGGGCTTCTTTTGGGCGGTGTCTCTAGCCGCACCTTCATGGACGACTCTCGGAAAGATGAATTATATTGTCCCGGAATTAGTATCCCTAGGACCCTAGGCCTCCAACCACCTGTTTCGAAGATGCTTGGGGTGGGTGCCAGGGGGTCTAACCACCGAACCTGAGGAGATGGTTGGAACATGGCTGGAAGAAAGCAGTGAAGAATACCCGGAGTTCAAGGGAGGCTCATGGGAGGGTAGAAGTGCTTATGATCCTCTCACTTACAGCCACCAGGACGATCAGAACCTCAAGCAAAAGCAGGAAATTTCTCCTGGACCTCGGGGTGTCCTGGACAGGGAGATCTCTCAGTAGTGTGTGGGCTTTTTAGGCAGGTGACCCCCTTTTCCGAAGGGTGGCAGATGCTGACTGTGGTGCTCTCCAGATCGATCTGTTCCGGAGTGTGCTAGAACTATACCGACTCAACCCCCCTCCACCCATCCTCACTCCCATCCTCACCCCCGCAACAGTTCGGGGAAGGCATCCCCCCGGCGAGGCTTCCACTCCTGCACCAGCAACTCCGCCCCCGGCCGCGAAGTGGTGGTCTTCCCCGGCAGCCCCGGCACGCCGGCCTACCCGGCCTACGTGCCGCCCCGGCACCGCACGTTCGACGGCGGGAGTGAGTTCGAGGGCGGGAGTGGATGGAGCAACGGGCGCGCGAGATTTTGCAGCAAGGGAGGCGGAATTGGCCCCATAGATGGGGTGGTGTGATGGAGGTGACGGCTTGATTGGACTGCTGCGATTACTGGGGGCCTTTTGCAATTGGAACTCCACCTCCAAAAAGCAGAAAAAGGTAAAGACTCTGGCGCCATTCCTGGCCCCTGCGGATGACCTCCTTAGAGCCTGACTGACCGCTGTTTTGGAGCCACAACATGGTGTTTTCGTCCTATGAAGAGAGAGGTCCAATGGCATACATGTCACCCTTATGTCACCCACCAGATCCGCACGCACTCTCCCAAGGTCATCACTTATCGCATGCCGCGCGACTCCACGCGCAGCACCAGCTTGGGCAACCCCTACCGCGAGCAGCTTCTGCGCGTGGACTTTGAGGATCGCGCCAGTTCACAGGCCTTTCACCGCTATCAGCACCACTGGCGTGCGACCCTTCCACGCGAGCTCCGCGCTGAACGCGCTGAACGCGCCGACGGATCGGCGGTCCGGAAGGCTGGTCAGGCCGCAGGGAAGGGACCTGCAGAGCGAACGAAAACAATTGCAGAGACCAGGCCTTTTGTGCGGAATTCACTTGTTAGATGCTTCTGTTTTGGGATCTTTGGCTGCTATTATAGGATGTTTGATGATGTTTGGAGGCTATTCCATCAACAATTCCTGCTGTAGAACAAGGTGATGGGATTTTGTTGCAACTTGGAAGATCTGAGGACCACCTGTAGCCTCGGAGTCCTCCAGAGTACAGTCTCCCAGAGATCTTTGGCGCCTGGCGTTGCTGTTTAAAAAGCCTCCCGTCTTAGGACCTCTTTCGCAGACGGCATCCAGGTTCCGATGCTTTCCAGTTGTTCACCTGGTTTTCGTCGCAGCACAGAGGTGCCACAGCCCCTCTCGCGGAGAAACAGCTGCGAAGAACGAAGGCCCGCGACACAGCGTGGCTGGGCGCCATTGGGGCAGAAGGGTTTTTTTGCGGGTCCACTTGCTGGCGTTTTTGAAGGCAAAGCCTATAGATTCAAAAGGCTGCTATCTTCATTGACATGGCGTGGTTCTTCATCCGAACACCTTCCGACCTGGCAACACGTCCGTTCCGTTCCGCTCGGCACCGGCCGAGGTCTCGCGTCCAAGCGTCCCAGCTCCGCGCCCAGGACGGTCCCAGACGTGACAAATATACACCCTGGAAGACTAACATGGACCCTGATAACCACTGGTTGGTAGAGGAAAACACTCGGACCCAGGGGGCCAGGACGTCAGGGTCTGGGAGTGGAAAATGGCTGACCCGAGCTACATGGGGCGAACAGAAGACGACTATATTGCCCTTGCTGATCGTTTTGTCTAAATGGGTGTGGCTTGGAACAGGCGCAGCTGGGACCAGAAATTCAGAAACTGCGATTGCGATTCAGAAGCTATAGGTCATGAGAGGCCCGATTCAGAAGTTCACCCGATTCAGAATGGGGCGGCATAGTTGTTTTTCGTCCCATATAGATTATTGAGGGATTAAAGAATGCTTACCAGGAGTCACAGAGCTCGGGGTGGTGTGAAACGTCCCATCCAGGGGCTGTGGATGTGACGACAAGGGCACCCCTATCCTTCCTTCCTCCGTTCGTTCAGCACCCCTATACCTTGTGACTTCTGACTGCTAGTAAGCATGTTGAAGCACTCTCAACCAGTTTCTTCGAAGTGATCTTTTTCAAGCCCGGCCGTGACCGAAGCACCGGCAACCAGGGTGACCGAGAGCAGGGCGGGTCATGGCACCAGGAGTGGTACACCTTATACTTGACCGACCCCCGAGGTCGTTCGCCGCATGATGGGGCTCCAGCGTTTCCCTCCCCGCCTGACCTTCCGTACTCCCTCGAGCCACCAGGATGTCACGGCGCCCGGGCGCGGAGCGGCCGGCGGAGCCGGAGCCGTTGGAGGAGCCGGTCATTTGGCACGCAAAGAGGAAAGAAGCCCAGAGGCGACAAATGGGACTGGTAGAATATATGACGCTCCTTTTTTGTCTCCCTGGGTCAACCACCCCAATGTAATCATTCCATGGAATAATTTCGGGACGCCAATACAACTCACTAACAAAGGAACTGGAACATGGCCTTGGGTAAAATGACTTTCCTGTACCAAGAGGCGGTTTTCCACTGTCATGTTAGTGAGTGGGAGTGTAGCCTCCATTCGACTTCTACATAGAAAGTGGAACGGCCGTGTTCTCCCGAAAGGAACACACTCTTGTTCTCCAGGCCGTGCCATTGGCCGTTCCATTGGGGAGGGTAGCCACTGGCATGGATTTTGGAATGAGTTTGATCCTTTTTGATCCAAGGTATTTACCAAGCTACCCAAGCTAGGACTTCCAAACACAAGTGGGTGGCCCGTCCTTGACCATGTCGCTGGCACCCATTCCTAGCATGAATCTTCCTAACTACAATCACCCCAAGGTCGAATCGCTGCCCTATTACGCTATCATCATCGAATCGCTGCTCACACATGTTCGCTCCGGGGACGCGGCACCTGTGAGTCACCCCGAAAGGTTGAGCTGCTCACCTCGGAGTTGATGGATGCAAGAACAATCACTCAATCGACTTCTTATTGGGGTCAAGGACCCCCTTTTACCGGGTCTGGGTCCTTGGACCTGTGGGGTGCTGCAAGAGAGGTCAGAGGTCTCATGGTGACCGGTGACCTGGGGACTCCACGCTGATTGGTCTCAACAGCAGAAGGCAGAACATGGAAGATGCATCCCTGGCTTGGGGAACACTCGAGGAAAGCTACCCTCCCTGGAACGATAGAAGTGAGGCACATGCCATCGCTTTCTTAGAGGAACATCTTCATCCATGCTTCCGGGGCCATGCCATACAAGACTTCCATGATTCTTGCAGGGACTGCTATATAGTATAGTAACTGAATTGCTCCATGGGGTCTTAGATGGTCTTAGTGGATCACCTGCCAAAACCTAGGCTGGGGCTGGGGGGGCATTGGGTTCCCCACGAAATCAGAACAGGTGCAAAAGCAGCTTAGCCATGCCTAGCCTGTTTCTTCAAGGACAACTGAGGGAGTCAGTTAGTCAGCCAGACAGTCTCTCTCTCTCTCTCTGTGGGTGGGAGGCTGGCTGTCCATTCCACCAGCCCAGGTCCCCTCAATTGCAGCGCCGGAGACACAGGAGGCCCCAAAGGAGGCCACTCGTCGCATGTGGATCGACCAAGCATCGATTCCTCCCCGCCTGCAACGAGTGTTTCGGCGGATGAGGGTTTTGTAAGGTCGATGATGAGTGCTACCATCTTGCATTAATGGGTCTATGATGGTTCGTGAGGTTCTGAAAACTTGTGCTTGGGGTTGAGGGTTGGTTGGAGATGGCCTTGGCAACGCCAACAAACATTTGCCAGTTCTTGCACGCGAAGAGGAGAAATTTCCTTGGGTCTTCAGGGTTAAACACAGTCAGCCGCTGTTATTTGGTTGCCGTAGCCGAGTTCAACTGGAGTGGCTGAACTCCAATTGGACCTTCTTAAGAAGCAAGATGGCGTGGTTGCACATGATTTGCAGAACAACAAAGGGTTCGACCTATATCCTCATACCCTCTTGCAGGTTCTTCTTGCTTTATTGTTTAGAGTTTAGGGCAATTGGGGGCGTTGCAAGGCATGGCAAGGCCCCATTCCATTGAGGATCTGGAGCAGTCGCCCTAGTCAAGCTTTGACTCAGGTGCCAGTGAAAACCCTTTGGATCTTCGACGAGGAGAAGTCACAGAAAGGTGTGGAGGCGGAATCTAAGCGAATGGCAATTCAACACTTTCAAGAACCAGCCTGTTCCCCCAGCCTGTTCCTGTTGTGCACTTTTGAGAGATGTTTGTATCGTTTATTGGCTGGATGAAGATGGTCCAAAAGCATGTGAGACATCTTTTGGGGGGCTGGATATGGCTGGATCGCTGGTCAACAGTCCATGGCAGGGGTGGGAGACCCCTCGCCCAATGGGTTTTGGGTCCATCCACGTAATCACGATGATTCCAGGCAGTGCCATTCAACCCCCGCTTGGCCCGAAAACAGCGACTGGCGCGCGAGAGCAAGAGCCTCCCACCACGAGCCGTCGCTGGGACGCGGGCGAAGGCGTGAAGATGTTCAGTGACCGAAAGGCACAGCCCAACGACTGCCATGCGGCGATGCGGTGTTTCGTTCATTGACGCATTGAAGAGACGTTTGTTGGTCTCGACCCCACCAAAAGGGAGAACAAACCAACGTAGATGCCAAGCCAGCGAACCAGGGCTGGCGTCATGGTGCTGCGAACCGACTGCACTGACCGACTGATCACCGACCAGCTCGACCGTGCTGTGAGGTGGAAGTTCCATTGAGCTGTCAGGCCCGAAGGACCTGGGACGTTTGTCTCGGCCATGGGTGTGTAGATTGACCTGGGAGACGCCCTTTTGGCCGTGGCCTAGCACTGCTAGTTGAGGTGGGTGTATTTTTTAGGGCTCCAACCACCTCGTGAGAAGATGGTTGGGGTTGGTGCCAGGGGGGGTCTAACCACCTTCTGAGGATACCAATGGAGCCCTATACGGTATTTTGGCTCCTATTTCTCTTCGTTGCCGGGGGCTTTGAAGGGAAATGGGTCTTCCTATAGAAGCATTTCTAATTGCAAGTGGGTGTTTTCCAGTTAGCAACTGGGTGCTTAAAAAATGCTGAGTCATGGAGGGTCAAACACGTGGCAATGTGTGGTCGCATGGTTTTCTCCAAGGTGATATACACACACATCCATCCACCCCAAGCACTTATTTTTCCTTTCACGCTCCAACAGGTTCAAAGCATCGTGTTGGTATCTCACCTGGCCATGCGAAAAAAACATTGGACCATGCATGGACCATGAACAGCTTTCAACGACAAGAGTTGTCAAACACTGCCAAATAGAGCATGAGCATACAATGACACATTTTCCCCTGGTGTTGCCCCTGGTCGCGCAGGTACACACGCGCAAAGCACCCAAAATTCAAACATCAATGTAGCAATTTCCAATTGCCACAGGAACATCGAATCTCACTTGGATTCTCAGTTGGGAAGAATAAAATCCTGAGCCACAGGAATGCCAGCCTTCCTCAATTCTCCCAAGCACCGGCGGCGGGAGTCATTACCAGCTTCCCGCATAGCAGCAGGATCTGTGTTCCCACTGCGCTGACAAGCCTTCCACCCACAGCAGTAGGCCTCAATTTCAACATATTTCAACAGAATTGAAGAGAACTTGGCTAAACAGGAAAAGAAACTCAGGTCGCAGCACTGTGCAGAGTTTTTTTCAACTTCTCCATCGTCCACATGGCGGTCTCCTGGAACAATAAGGGCCCAATTGTTCCTTAATGTTCCTTACAATCACCTGCGTTATAGAAATAGCAATAATAGCAATCCTCAGTCTTCTTTTCCTTTTTCTTCACAGGCGCACTCTTTGCAGCGGATGCCTTTGCTTTTGGTTTGGCTCCAGGCTTTGTCATCACAGCCTTAGCCTTCGCCGTAGACGCCTTAGCAGCACGTGAGGGAGCAGAACTTGTCGGCAAATGGTCCTTCTTGGCTTTTGCTTCATCAAACTCCTGCAAGGTAAATGGATGAACACCCCAGACCAACAACAAGAACAGACAAAATGCCTGCCTTTGACAGATCACGAGCAGTCGGTGAAGGTGCCACCTAGTCATCAAGATGCAGTTGATCAAACAGCATTGACAAGTTAAAAGAGACTCGCACCTGGTCTGGACCCAAAGCTGAAGTCTTGTCCTCTTCCTGGTTTGGACCCAAAGCTGAAGTCTTGTCCTCTTCCTGGTCTGGAACCAAAGCTGAAGTCTTGTCCTCTTCCTGAAGAGTCAAACTGTTGTGGCGTCCAATGTTGCCAAAGAAGGTGATTGCCAGGCCAACAAACAACACACAAACACGAATGCACAACTTGGGCCCAGCCTTTTCATCCCACCACCCAAGGTTCAACGTAGGCGAGTATGACACAGTAGGGGCAGTGTCACCGCCATCACCTGTTTTAGCAATTCATCACATAACATATTAAACTAAATAATATATATAACAATGTCAGTTTCCCTTTTAGACAAAAGTCGGTCAGAAGCCTTGCCTTCCTCAAGATGTCCCTTGGTCAGCTCATCATCCATCATGTCACCTCCCCCTGGCTGTTCAGCATCGTCCATCGTGAACAGAGATGCATACCCATCGTAAAAGGCTCCATCATCAGTCGGTTGACCTTCACCATCCAAAGCCATCATGTGTTTTTCATGTTCAGGCGCATCATGACGAGCCGGTTCAAAGTAGTGGGCCTTGGACCTGTGCAGACGCCTGGCCTCGAACGGGCATAGTGTTGGTCGCTCAACTGGCTTTGACCCACTCAACGGCTCGACAACCGGCTTTGGCTCCATGACCGGCTCTGGCTGGCCATCCTGCTTTGGGTTTGGCTCCATGATGGGGTTGACTGGCTCAATGGCAGGCTCCACAACAGGGGCGTGTACACATTGTCGACGACGAACGTGAGCCTCCAGAAAACGTAGAACCCCATCCCAGACCCAAATGCAAGCAATCCCCAGCAGATCAGAGCTCATCAACATGCTAACTAATCAGCAAGGAACAACTTACAGAATACCAGCAGGGCACCTTCAGGCTTGCAAGTGGATCATGTTTCTGCGGAGTGGCCACAGCCTACAAAACACAGAAACAAGACACAAAGAAGCGGTTCGGTGCACAGAAAATGAAAGCCTGCCTTCAAATCATCAGTGGTGCAGCTGTTGTCATCTTTCTTGGTCGGTTTGCGTCCAGGCTTCTTGGGCTCCTTCACCTTGGCCCTGGCGCCTCACGAAAAAGCCATCCAAGTTGAGTCTGTCTTATTCAATAAGGTCCGGCCTTTTTTGTTTTTGGTCGCACGCGAACTTTGTCCAGCTGGGCGCTTCTTTGGCTTTGCATCATCCGCCGCACAGCCATCAGCATCACAGTCATCATCATCATCATCATCTTTACCACCTTGTCCCAGCCTCTCAGGACCATCCACATTGTCATCATCATCATCATCTTCTTCTTCATGTTTTTTCTTTGGTTGTTTGTTGCTGTCCTTTTTATCTCCCTTACCTCTTCCAGAGCCCCTTCCCCTCCCCTTTCCCTTCTCCCTCCCTGTTCCGCTTTCTCCCAGCTTTGGCTTGCTGTCTTTCGATTGTGAGTTATTCACACCCAATGGTTCTTCTGATGAAGACCCAGAAGCATTGAACTTCGGTGGCAATCCTGTGCCAGACCATGCGTGTTGAAACACACAACAAATCAGCGCAGACAATTACAATGACACAGCCCAAGTATTACAATTACCAAGACCCACAGTTATGCTACAATGATGACCTGGATGACCTACAACTGCCCTACATTAGTCAACATAAAACAAAAGAAGACAAGGCAAATTTGGTCAGGCCTGAAACCGATGTCACTGCAGAAGATGACTTTGCTGCTGCGGCTGGTTCTTGCTGGAATCGTGCTGGAGCAGTGGGAGCAGTATGTGGGGAAGTGCTTGGGAAAGCTGTGCTGCTTACCCGAGACTGTGGGGTTGTTTCAGGCATGAAATCCGAGAGGTTGAAGGCCTTGAAAGCCAGCAACGTTTGCAATGGGGGCTCAAACCCTCACACAGAACTAGCAAATAGGCAGCACAACATGAGTTTTGTGTCTAGTGAATGGTTTGATTTGGTTTGAATATGTTTGAATATCAATCCAAAATTTGAGAAGTGCAACATCGCACATCTCAGGCTCAGGGTCTGACAGGCGTTCTGTGATGAGCAGATTCTGCCACATCCACCAACTCGATGTCAGAGTCCGACCCCATAGTGAGCGTTCAAAAGGCTGGTTCCCTTGATTGACCCTTTCTAGCTTGGACTGAAACCTTGCAATATAGCACATCGAACCTGCCTATGATTCTTGAAACATGCTTCACAGCAGGTAACATTCTTTGTTTCATTCTTGGGGCGTGCCAACTTGCCATGGCGTATCACAGAACATCTTTTTTGAGGCACTGCGGTCGGTCCGGCCGATCTCCAGCTCGCTGTCCAAAATCCGATGTCGAAAGAATGTCTCAGAAATCTTTAGGATTATATAAATCCAAAGCTAGTCACAAATAATTAATAGTTGTAATTGTTGTTGAATGCAACATCGACTTGTTTGAATAATTTTGGAGCACATCCTTCGATATCACCAGAAACGCACACAAACTTTCACACAGGCAAGCATGGAGAGAAGAAAGCATATTTTTAGATTTGTATATATACTTGGCAGAGTGGGAAGTATAAAGTCATCATAGCGAATGGTTTGTTCACAGGACATCCCTCCATGATGCTTCTACATAACCTGAACCACCTGTGCAACCTCCAAATCGAGCTGGCCGGTCAGGATGCATATGGGCCTTTGTGGCATGAGTGTGGTCACTCCGTTGGCAACTTCAAGCCTGCCGCTCAGGAAATGAGTTGGGGCGGAATTGGGTACGCATAGAGTCAGCCAAAAAGAACAGAATGAAGATTGATTGGAATCCTTTGAAGGGTTCTGTGATGAATTTTAGTACCGGCACAGCTGTCATCTAGTTTAAAACAGAAGACCAACCTGCCTTGCCCGGAATCCAATTTTTAAGGCAGTGCTGTTCACTAACTTTTTGAGATCCAGCTTTGCTCCGAAGGTCACCGGCGATGCCTAGTGCAGGAGAACAAGTTTACACACAACTTCCCCATCAGACTTGCTAGTCACTGTTTACTGCAAAGAACATGTCCGGCCTTTTTGGCTGTCTTGTTTTTTTTCTTGGGTGGTTCCCGGGCGGAGTCATCTTGCTGGGCATCAATTCCAAAGCAAAGTGCCTTTTCTGATTTGATACTGTCCTGTGCCAGATCCACGGTATGATGGCTGTAGCCAACCCGTACCTGCCAAGTGTTGGACTCTGTGCATTGCAAAGGCCCCTGGGTTTTAGATTGCCAACCATTTATTTACATCAGACGCTGAGGTCATAGACAAAGCTTTTGAGGGGTTCCACAGACTGGAATTTTGATATATATATATATATATAATTCAATGTTCTTTCTGCACCACCAAATAGTTGACTATGGGTGCCCAGCCTCTCCCGCATCCTCCATAAGAGTCAAGAGGTCTCGTAGTTTTGTGGGCTTCTCCAAGCATGTGAGGTTGGCGAGGTGTGTCAAAATCCGTTTCTTCTCTAGCACGATTGGTGTGTCAAACGTGACCACCCCAGACACCCACTTTGCATCTGATTCCATGAGTTCAACAGCATCGTTCCCGTCACACCATGTTCCTGATCCAAAGGAACAAAGTTCCCGAAAGTTGAGTAATGTTGCGGATTCTGCATGTGTCATGAAGAAAACGCG